TGCACCCAGTTGTATCCCCTGTACTAAGTGCCCAGAGACACGTCTGGCCTCAGTTGAACACTGAAGGCAGTTTCATGCTTTGATTGTCAAGAATCTTGCCACAAGAAGTATGTTGGCTTTTTTTTTCAATTTATCACATTTAGCACAAAAATCAAGCCAAAGACTCCATTTAGAATTTTACTCTCTTTTCTTTGACGTTTTCCTACTAAAAGCTAGCCTTCTGTTAAGAGCAACAAGCTTGTGTGCCTTTAGAGACCAAGAAGGTAACATTAATGAAAAAGCAGGCCAGGTAAAAGAGAAGTGTTGACGGAAGCATAAATACATGCCATAGGTTGCCTTCCTCTTGACTCTACTCTGTGCACAGCAACTGTACGGGTACAGTCATAAATGGCCGCTGCAGCCAGCCCTGCAGCAGAGGAGGTGAAAGGGGACAGTGGGCACTGCCGAGAGAGAAGGTGAACCCAGTCCGAAGGGGCCGCTCTCCATGCAGGTTCTGGGTTCCTAAGTTTCTGCTTTGTCAAGAGAACTTGCAAATCCAAATTTTAATGTGAAGTCTTCTAATTTTTAAAACAATTTTTAATTGTGGTAAAGAACGCATAACATAAAAATTACCATCTTAACCCTTTCTAAGTGTACGGTTCAGTGGTAAGTGTATTCCCATTGTCGTGCAGCCCATCTCCAGAACTTTTTCATCTTGCAAAATTGAAACTCTAAATTCATTAAACAACAGCTTCCCATTGCCTTCTACTCCTGGCCCCTGGCAACCACCTTTCTACTTTCTGTTTCTATTAATTTGACAACTCCAGATACCTCATAAAAGTGGCATCATAGAGTATTAATCTTTTCCTAATTGGTTTATTTCACTTAACATAATGTCCTCAAGGTTCATCCATGATGTAGCAAGTGTCAGAATTTCCTTCCTCTTTAAGGCTGAATAATATTCCATGATATGTATACACCACACTTTATCTTTTCATCCATTGATGGACGCTTGGGTTGCTTCCACCTCTTAGCTATTGTGAATAGTGCTGCTATAAACATAGGTGTGCAAATATCTGTGTAACCCCCTGCCTTCAATTCTTTTGGGTTTATTCCCCAAAGTGGAATTGCTGGATCATATGGTAATTCTATGTTTAATTTTTTGAGGAACCACCATACTGTTTTCCGCAGCAAGTACACCATTCCCACCAACAGTGTACAAGAGTTTCTATTTCTCCACATTCTTGCTGCTGACTTTTTTTTTTTTTTTTTTCTGGGAAAGATTCTCTCTGAGCTAACATCTGTTCTCAGTCTTCCTCTCTGTCTTTTTTTTTCCCCTCCCCAAAGCCCCACTATAAATAGTTGTATATTTTAGTTGTAAGTCTTTCTAGTTCTTCTGTGTGAGCCACCACCACAGCATGGCTACTGACAGACGAGTGGTGTGGTTCTGCACCAGGAACCAAACCCAGGCCACCAAAGCAGAGCATGCTGAACTTTAACCACTAGGCCATCAGGGCTGACTCTGCTCCTGACTTTTTAATGTTTGCAGCTAATTCAAGTGTTTTTCAAAATGCCATGCAGCCACACATTCAGGCCAAGCAGACATTGTCCACAACCTGGAACTGTCCTGCACACAGAGACACATGTCCACAAGCCTCTGGCAGAATGCTTGCTCCTTAATCCCCATCAACAAGAAATGGTCCTAGACGACATAACTTGTCGAGGATGATGCCCGCACATCACACAGCTCTGGATGGAAGCAGCTCTCACCACCCTGCTCTTCTGTGCAGTGAAACAATACCCTAGTTCCATAATCCAACATTAATTTTTTTCCTCTCAAAGGACATTTGGTAGTAACAGGAAAGAAATCAAAGAAAAATAAACAATTTTGTATTTCTGAGTGCGTCTGGCTCATGAATACCCAGAATTTCTGGTCAGGTTCATCTGAAAAAAATAGTCCTTTCTCTAAGCAAAGGTGTATCATCCCTTCTGCTGGCCTTTTGTGGATCTTGACCAAATTGAGTGTCACAATTGAGGGAGAGGAAAAATGCTGCCTCCCTATTCCATGTTTTGATTTTATTTTATGACTAAAACTCATATTTCTCAAATTCTCTGAAACCTCATGGTGAGAGAGGAGCGTTAAATGATGGTTGTAAATTTGCTCATTTGTTTTGTCAACCGAGGAAAATATGTAAAATATAGAAATAAATAACAATCCTTTCTTCATCTTTTTATACCCCTCAAACTAAACTGGAATGCAGGACAAACTCAAAAGCAGGCAGAGGAGATCAGTGCTGATCATTTTCTGTCCTTTGTTCAGCTTCATGAGACATTATTATTTCCAAGAAATAGCACTTCCTGTAAGGAGAAGAGCCAGCATGAGGGAAACTACTTAAAGGAACTCATATATATAGTTCCATCTGGGAAGGGCTGTAGGAGAAATGCCTGCTGATGATATAATGGGCTGTGCTTATAGAAGGAAATTTCTAAATCTTTAATTCATTCTTCCGTTATGAGAGAGCTGTATATAAAGTTGGGCCACTTGGAGATGCACTGGACAGGAACGTGGATGACCATGATTACAACATGCCAAAGGAATTTGATCATATATATGGGGTCCAATTCTGGAAAGACGAGCATTGCAAATACAATTGTCTTTCCTTACTGAGGGTCGTTGCCATTGTATATAGTTCCTCATAAACAGTCACCAGGTGATTCTGCCTGACAGAGGAGCCTCTTCATGGAGAAAGGAAGGAAGGGAGGGAGGGAGGAAATGAAGCACTTAATATACGTGAGGTATGTGCAAAGTGCTTTAGGCATATTACTTTTTTATTCATCCTCCCAACAACCTTGTGAAATAGGGTCTTATCTCTATTTTACAAAAGAAAACTAAGGCTCACAGAGGTTAAGTGACTTGTCCGAGTCATACAGCTAGTAAGTGGTTAGTCTGGGATTCAAAACCAGGCTAAGCCTCTGCATAAAACTTCCTTGCTGAGATGGTTGGTGGCTCAGGAGACATTGTAATCACCTAAAGAGGCTCAGGATAATCTCTGCTCTGGGCCCCCACTCTCGCACTGGCCTTTCTTCTCTGAAAGAGACCATTGGTCCACATCATTTGGAGCAAAATCTAACAACTGAGTGAAAACATGGGGGGTGTAAAAGGAGCAAACCCAAACTATTTCATACCAAGTTTTGAAAGCTGTAGGGTATTAACAGCTAAAACATTTTGAATGGAAGATAGTTTTTAATCTCGCATACAGAAAAGCACAAAAATATAGACAGACTCCAAAAGCAGTCCCAAATGGTTTGTTAGCCACAAGCAGTTTCACAAAGATTATATCCTGCTGTAGAAAACACCTGACCCAATTAGATTCACCCTTTAGATATTTCAGAACAACTGTCATGGAAGTTTCCTCTAGACTAGGAATTCCCTTCAAGGAAAAGAGACTTCAGAATGGACCCTGGTGGTCTGTTCATCTAGGCAGGATTCAATATTCACTCACATAGGATGGTTAGAAAAAAGGACTTTACGCATCAATGATATGCCCAGATCACTTGGGATTGTTTTAGGATATGTGAGAGTAGGGTGACTATGAGGGGACGAGAAGAGTTTGACGTGCGCCAATAGGCACAGGATTCTGTGAGGATGACATGGATTCCACCTCAACTCCCAGGACACTGAGGTGACTAACCCATTACCAACGGAATCTACTAACAGCCTTTTTAAAAAGCCCCGTTGCACTTGATGTCTCAACTCTTCCTTCGTGCCTCAGTTTGATCCTCCTGAGGCTAATATGAGTTCATGGCCCTTCTTAACTTTCTATCAGTGAGCAACATGGAAGTGGGAGGGACAGTCCCAAAGCCATAAGGACTTGGGATAATTTTACTGAATTTGAAACATTACCCCCAAACATATATTTAGGGTAAAATCTGGTAAAGTGCAGGACAAACACTCATTTTTTCACTTGAAACTATTTTAAGTGGCAAGAAAGCAACATACTTACCAATGTTCTGCTTCGCCTCTGCCAAGTATTGTCCATTCATACAGCAGCTTCCTGAAATTACCGGGCTTCTGAGCTGAATGCACGTGTCTACCTCATTGCTTTGATATCAGTGGCCTCCTAATCCAGTGGGATAATTTTCCAGTGAAGTCATCAGAATATATTAGCCTGTCTTTGTAGTTCTCCTGGGAAGAGCTGTGTTTGTCATGGTGCCTTTAAATGTAAGGAGTTTGAGTTTATACCTCAAATTGCATTTCAGCAAGACTTCTTTGTGATTGTCCCTCATTGCATTGTTATCAGTTTTTAAACTCGAAACAACATAAATTTCACTTATGAGATTAAATTGATCAATTATTTCAAAATCACAATTTGTATCTGTCTGGTATCTATAAAAGATAGACATCTTTTATAGAGATATCTATATAAAAGATAGATAGATACCTCTTTTGAAATATTGATGTTATTAGATTTTATTGCTTAGAGAAAAAAGTCCTTTCATTCATGATTTTCTCAAAATTAAGCCTGCAGTTTTGCAAAATTATTATGTATATATATGTATATATTTACATCCTGATAGAAATTCTTACTTTAGCAGTGAAGAGATTATAATAATATGCCCTGGGATGTCATATGATGTAGCAATGTCATTTAAATTACGGTTTTATTTATTCCACAGACTTTTCTAAACCAAAGTTCCTGTTAGTTTCAATGTGCTTTTCATCTCAGTAAATCATGTACAAGTGGATTTTTTTAAAGTTTGGAATAGCCTGGTCTCTTTCCCAAGAACTTCCCTCCACTGCATGCATTCCTGTTGCCCCCTTCTGGATCATGGGTGTGAATTACTTTCATGGCTCTTGGCCATGGCCAAGATAACCAGAGCTTGCTTTCCATCCCTAATAATAATTATGTCCTATGTAATTATTATTATTATTATTATCCTTTCTCCTTGGTAGAAAAGTGACCAGAACAATCCAACAAGGACGAGCCCCTTCCGCTGATCCCGAGTTTCTTCTGTTGCAGATTGGATCTGAGAACCCTCCCCTCCAGGGACAGGCTGCAGCTTCAGGGAGTGGGACAGGAGCTGACTCTGAGCCAGCTCGCCACGTCTTCTCCTTTTCCTGGTTGAACTCCCTGAATGAATGATGTTCATTCCAGCTGCTGCCCCTCTGTCTGCCTGGCTGAGATGCACACAGGCACAGGGAACCTTCATGAAATTAGCATGATGCAGATGATGAAAGGGACCTCTGAACAGGATTTCTGCCCAACAAAGCCCTTTAATTCCAGATGACTTATCCAACACTTTGAAGGAAAACAATACTCTCAGAAAATAGTTGCAGAAAATATTTGAAAACAGAAACTTGATCTTATGCAAATCTTTTATTGTGTGGGAAATATTATGAAGGGTATGTAGGTGTGGTATGTGTGTGTGTGCGTCAGTAACAAGTGGCAAGTGTTGAAAAGTATGCACTACACTGTCGTCTCTAATAGGCATTGCTTTTGTTATTACATCATAGTAGCTCTTACTCTCCTTCCCTTTAACAATGCAGGTGGTCAGTGAAATTCAGTGTTAATTCAAAAGTGACTGATTTATCAATTTATGGACAAAAGGTAAATCATTGACCAAAGGTATGAAATGTTTCACAAAGGCTTCCTCTTTTCCATAAGAGATATCACTGGATGTATATCCAGAAATGTTCTTTGACTCTGGTGACACTTTACAGTCCAGAAGGCTGAAGGCCTAGGACATGTCTTGTGATGTTTTTCTAATCTTAGCTTTAGATATGCAGATACCAGACACTTTAGTTAAAAAAGACTTCCCAAGAGGAACTGTCTGGTTTCTCAACTTTCCACTGTGGCACCAATCAGTGAACCACTGAGAACAACTGCATGTATTTAAATATATATACACACACAATTCACATTTTATATTTATATGTATATATTTAAATCATGCTTTATTTGTCCCACCACAATGCCTCCTTCAGAACATAAGTATAACTTTACTCTGTATGAACTCAAATAAATGCTGTTTTTAACAACTCAGTCTTATAATGATTTATTCAGTGTTTCATATTATCTTATTAATCCATTAGTCAAGTGTATTTCAAGGGTCCCAAGGGAAGAAGCATCTTCATATATCCAAAATAATTTCAAAGTATTCAACATTCAATTGAATTTTTTAAGTTATAAGTAAACTATCAAAGGCGAATGCATTGTAAAACTAATTAGATGTGCTGTTCAGTTTTAGAAATGAGTAGAGATAGTTTATATTTCCAAGAATTAAAGTGATTAAGATTGGCATAGACATAAACGAGGAGGGGATTTAACAAAGTTATTAAAGTCTAAATATTCTTTATAAGAAAAATATTCTCAGCTGCAATTTTATAGCAACTAAATTTAGTTAAGTGGAGAGGCTATCAAGTTTCTCCGCTTAGAAGTAGGCATTGGAAAATAGCTTAGGAAAAAAAATACTTTATGGTACCAAAGTAGTAGCCTTTTTTTAGAAAAAAAAAATGCAGCATGCTGGCTCTCTAGTCTGCAGGAAGCCCCGCCTCAACCCTTCTCCTCTTTGCTTTCCTCCCTCCTCATCCTCCCCAATTAGTTCACGTCTTATAGTTAATCAGGGTTAAATGTTATTTCCATTATGAATCAATCTTCCGTTTACAGAATTACCAAGTCTTGGAGCTGGAAGCAACTTCCCAAATTATTTAACTCAATCTCAGGGGAGTATTCTGAGGTACAGAGATGAGCCCAAGGCGCTTGCTGGATCTGTGTTAAGCTACTGACATGTTTGTATTTTTAGTAGAAATAATGCAAGGAGTTTTGTTTTCTCTTGTGCTGAAGTCAGTTTGGAGGAAACCAGGAGCTGAGAGTATTTCCCCTACAAACATTGAAGAGGAAAAATAAAGTCACGATTACCTTTGCAGCTTTTATTAAAAATATAAATATTCTACATTCTCTTACACAACCAAATTGACCAAGGGTTGGAAAGATGTTTTATTACTGAAACGTTTACAAGGCAAAGTTGATTCAAAGAGCTTACAGATTTTTGTCTCACCCACGCAAGAGAATGACATTCTCTTTGGCTCAGACCATAACAAAATAAATTGGGTGACTTCTGATCAGCTTCTTCAAAATGTTTCCTCCCGAGTCCATACTCTCTTTAAAACACATCAAAGACACCTGGAAATGGAAACTAAAAGTAGACAATACAAATAACATTGTGTTGCTGTTACTGCTCGTGAATACACTTTGTGCATGCTAATTAAGGAGTACAGCCTCTCTTGCTGTACATCCTCTACGTTTCAAGCTATATAAAAATAAACAAATGGTATCAGAGCAATGCTATGATTGAGAATACTGTATTGTTTTTATTATTTTTATTTTTTGTGCTAAATGCAGAATCTTTTTTGGCCAAACGCACCGTTTCATTTCCCAATAATCTCCATCAGTTTCCTGTTGCTGTGAGCTTGCTGCGCTAACTGCTCGGCCCTGGCCATTTCCAAGACTTCTCGGAGGAGGTGGAAGGTGAGATCCAGCGAAATGGGAGGTTCCTCGGATCGCCTCTCCCTCTCCGGTGCCTCCTGGCGGCCGCCGAGGGCATTCTCGGCGCCGGGCTCCGCGGGACCCGCTGGGCTGTCGAGCGGGCGCCGGGGCAGCGGCAGCTGCTGGAGCAACGCGCGGAAAAAGTTGGCGGCAGCCTCGTCCGGCGAAAGGCGGATGCCGCTGCCGCCAGCGAGAGGAGAGGAGGCGGGCGAGAGGGGAGCAGCGGGGCTCTTGTTGAGGTTACCCAGGCGGAGGAAGTATTCCTCCCCCATGCGGAGTAGGACGGGCCGAGCCTGCGGCTGCTGGGGCTGCTGAGGCTGCGGCGGCGGCTGAAAGAAATCCAGGGGCTGGGGGTGCTGCAGGGCCTGCCGGGCGCCCGGGATGGGCCCCCGGGTGAGAAGGGCCCTGCATGGCGGGCAGGGCAGGAGAGCCACCAGCAGGACGCCCACGGACACAAGCAGCGGCAGCCGCATGTTAGGGGCGCTAGCTGCGGCACAGAGGTGGGCAAGGGGCGGGATGAGAGAAAGAAAGAGAGAAAGAAAGAGTTGGTCAGAGTTTAGCTCAACTGGGAGGTGCACTTGGGGGTCTTCCCCACTGGACACCCATAGACCTGGCTCAGGCGCTCGGGCGGGCGCTGTCCGCGGTGCTGAAGCGCCCGAACTAGGACTTCCAGAGTTGGAGCGAGATGGGAAGCAGGCTGGGGTGACCCGTCTCCTTCTGAGACCTCTGAAGGGACTGTCCCTGAGTCCCCTTTCTAACGATCCCCAAAACTGATTCCCCGAGCTCTAGAGAAGATCTACAAATTAAAGATCTCTGCCGCTCTAACCCCTCCCCCCATTTCGGATGTTTCAGTGTTTTCCTCCAAATTGAGAACTGCTGCCTCCTCCTCCCCTTTCTCCATCCGTGCCTTTGCGTCCTTCTCTCGGGGGTCGGGATCGATAGGGGACTCGTCTACCCAGCCAGCTAGGAGTAACTAGCAGTTTGGGGAACGATGAGCAGCCGTCTAACTTTGCTTTTGCCACATCCCAGCTACTATTGGAATCTTGAGGCACAGTCAGTAAACACACACACGCACACACACACACGCCCGCATAGGGACAGCCCGCTCCGCGGCGCACACCGTGGAAAGCTCAGGCAGTGCAAAGTTGGAGGCGCGTTTCCGTCTGTGCGCTCCCTACCTTCTGAGGCGCTTCTGCAGGTGAGCCGGGCGCTGCCGCCTCTCTGCAGAGGAACGTCTCCGGGGCTTTTTCAGGGATTTTCTTCCCTTCTCCTTTCTGTCCCCACTCTCTTTTTCTCTCCCTCTTCTCTTTCTCTTCAGCCTCTCAACGGACTTGGGCTCTGAGTTTCTCCACACCAGAGCCTGGAGTGGGATTTTATAGCGTCGACCCTCTTCAGAAACCACGCAGCATTTGCCTAATAAGCTGACGCTCTCTTGACAGCTCGATTGCGTGCTGCCTCTGCTCCTGCATAAATCATAGGGCCCTGCCAGGGAACGAGGGGCAGAATTTTTGCTATCTCAACACTGAATCTCACATCCAATTATATCAACAGATATTTATCGCCTCCTTAGTGACGTCAACGAGCCCTAAAATGGAAGGGCTCCTTATGACTTGTCCATTGACAAAAATTCTTGAATGAAATTTCCCAAGTGTGAAAACATATTGACCTCTTACTATGAAAGGCCAAACTGAGGGCAGAAAAGAGACAGCAAATGAGAGGGGAGAGGAAGGGAAAGTGTGAGGGAAGGGAGGTCTATCAATGCACAGTCCTGTGGGGGAAAGCAGCACCCAGTTACAGGGGGCGGATCTGAACCTCCTCTTCACTCTCCCTCCTAACTTCTCTGATCAGTTGTCTCGGGCAACACCTCAGTATCTGAAAATATCCCTTTGCTAGAGACAAAGTGTTCCATCACCTTTCTGCCTGGATAAGAATGAAAAACAAGGAGATGCGGGTGCAGGGACATCTGGCTTTTAAGTCTCTATCTGCTGTTTCCTCCCAGGAATCCCAGATAAAGGAATTATGAGTCTGCAGAGGCAAGACCAGTACGTCTCTAGAAACCCAGTTCAATTTTTTTTTTAAATGATGGCAAGAGCTATCCCCACGATGAAGGGGCACACACCAGGGTCAGTGAGGGGTGCAGCAAAGATTTTAAGTTCTCCCAGAACCTATCTGCTCCTCCTTGTCTCTCCTGTCAGAGTCTGAAATTAATTGTGGACTTTTCTGTTCCAAAATTAGGGAGAGAAAGGACCAGTCAGAGTTGCATGAGTTAAATAAACCTTATTTAGTCTACTCAATGCAAACCCAATGAAAGAAGCATTGATTCTAACTTCCTATTCTATTGGAAAAGGCTTAAACTGCCTGATAACCAGGCTGAATTCATCAATTGCATGTTTTAATGGATGAATATTGAGCCTGTAATAAGGTAACCTCATTCATTTTACTTCCAAATACTATTAACATCCATGATAGTATCCATATCAGAAGCACCCAGGTTGTTTTTTGGTTTTTTTTAATCATTTCCTTTTCCAAATTCAAATGTGCTCCATGGGAGTCTGATAAATAAATAACTGCTCTCCGGCACTACCAGAGAATGGAATGCCTATAAAACCACACTCAAATTTCAAATTAAATTGACGTTATCATACAGGTGGGAGGCAGTTACCTCTAATTCTGCAATTCAAAATGCAATTCCAAACTCTGGTGTCTACGATTCAATTCAGCTTCTAGATAACCATCAGAGTTGTTTTTCAGAAATTTCCAGTTCCTCATTTCTGGTTTCCTCTTCTGCTCCTTTTGTAGCTAACGTGACAAATGACGAAATGAGTATTTCAACTCCTATTTTGGGTGTATACTAATCCACAACTGCTCTTAGAAACAAAAGGAAGGTAGAAGGAGAAATTCTGGCAGTTTCCAGAGAAGTCAGCCCATGGTTGGGTCTTTGTGCAATGGAATGTACTCTTGACTTAAGGGAACAGGGAAAGAAATGTGTCTTCTGGGAAAGATGTGAGTTGTTAACAGAAGACCGTCATTATGGAAAGAGGTTTAGCCTTTAGAGGAAAGCTGTGTTTCATGTTGGTAAAGGGTATATAGAACCTTAGTTTTTGTTATTGTGGTCTTTTTTAATCTTTTAAGTTGGAATGGATATCAACTTTTTTGCTTACTTTCCTTTATGAACCCTTCTGTGTCCCCACTGGCAGATTTCACCTTGGATGTCAATCAGGAGATGAAAGTAGATTTGGAAGGGGAAGTTCAGGTAAATGTACACAGAGGAAGAATTAGGAAAGGGATAAGAACATGGTTTTAGCTGAGGAGGCGGGGAGGTTCCTCCAGAGAAGACACAACATGCTTTGGGCTTTGACTCACCTCGTACCCCTTCAGAACTCTCTCCTACTGGGCCATATGGAGGACGTTGTTTCAGTATGGCTCCCTCATCACTGTTGCATCCCTGCTGTGAGATTTCCCTCCAGTAGGTAGTTGGTTAGGGACAGAGTGGCTCTGACTAGGGATGAGGAACAAAAGGGCTAGACCCCAGAGGAGGAGGGACTGTGAAGAGCAGCCCCTACTCTCCACAATTTATCCAAAAGTTAGATCTCATCAAATCACTGAATGTTCACATTAGAAATAACTTGAATAGATCATTTGGTTTAAATGAGAACCAGAGAGGTTAAGTGACTTACTGGAAGTCACTCAAATAGTGGTTAAGTCAGAATTAGAACCCAGTTCTTTTGACTACTAGCCTGTATTATTTCCATAATACAATACCCTTTGAACTTCCTTTTCCAGTAGAGACACATGAACAAATTGAAGTGAGAAGATGGATTTAGGTAAAGCAACATATTCACAAACCAATCTTGAAGTACTTTTTCTTAAACTTTCCTTATACTGAGAAATCTCCAAAGGCATGAGAACACAGAGATTCTTTGTGCATGCTGATGCCCCAGCACCTGATTTTAGATCTCTGTGTGCACACACTGCAATTTACTTTTCAGCTGAATCTGGTAATTATGACATGAGGTTTTGAAATGCATTGCCAACTTAAGATGCATTAATTTGATTTTCCACCTTAGCTCACCTTGGAAAAAAGGATGTTTTGATAAAGTATGTGATATGTGTGATACTTTATCAGAAGTATTTGATAAAGAGTGATGTGATTCTCAAAATAATGATATAAATGTATAATTTGAGAAACAGCATCATGAGGAGGATTTACCTGTGCAGTAAACTAAATACGTGAGTCCACAAAAATCACCATGACAGATTTAATCTTACATGTAGGAATAACTTCTTGAAAGGAGTCATTGGGAGAACCAATTTAAATACTTTTAGAACCTAAAAACACAATCCAAGAAACATGGGCACAAAAACAGGGATTACTTCATGTTTTAAACCATATTTTTCAATAAAAACATAATATAGGATATAGTTAAATTTAAAAAGACATGGCACAGCAGTCCAATGAATAAAGAAATATTAGAAATAAGAGGTAACTGCTGGGCTTAGTCCTGTCATCTGCATCTCCTTCACTTTCAAGGAGTATGCCAACATGTGCCTCTATTAGCAAAGTTCATAGACAAAGACAAAACAAAGACAGTCTCCAAGTTTGCTAAGAAATGTTTGTTGAAAGGAATCTACCATCTCCAATGACAGCCTTTAAAAATGCCTCTGGCGGACAGGGCGTTTGGTAACTGTAACTGTGCTTCAGTTAGATTAGTAACTACCTTCTGCTTCCATTGGTAGGGCTGGGGAAGGGATCTCAGACAGGACAAATATCTAATTGCTTAACCAGTAACAGTAACTTTTATTAATCTCTTCTGATTATCAAAGCCATTTATCCTCCTTGTAGAAAACTTGGACAAATCAAAAAAGTATAAAGCAAAATACAAAATCCCACAGATTCCAGAATCTCAAGATAATCTCAGTTAATATTTTGTTGTTTCCCTTGAGAATTTTTGCTAAGCTCATACATCTTTCATAATGGAGATAACAGTGTGTTCCTAATTGTGAATTTCTGCTTAAAACACACACACACACACACACACACACACACACACACACATTTAAAAGTTAAAAGTAACTGGTTGAAGGAATCGCTCTCAGATTCCTAGATTAAGTTTAGGACCTGTGCTCTATCTTCTCCTAACATCATGGATGTCCTTTATCATAAAGTTCACATTTTTTAATCATTAGTGGTACAATATGTCTCTTCCTTGCTCGACTGTAAACTGTGTGGCAGAGACTTGACTGTCTTTATGAACTGTCTTAGCCATTATTCCAACCCCAAGCACAAAGCCAAAACATGGTAGATACCCAATAAACCTTTTGAATGGATGAACTATAGAAAATTTGTTGAATGAATGAAGTATAGATAAATCATCCATAAGCCTATCATCCAGAAATAACTAGATAACAGTTTATAACTAAAATTTTATAATCTATGTTTTCCCACTTGAAATAACATCTCAAACATTTTGCTATATCTAAATGACATGCTTTTTATTGACTGTATGATATTCCATCAAGGAGGTGTACCACAATTTCTATTCATTCCGCATTGTTGATCACCGTCCTAACAACCTGCTTTTTAATTTTTTTCTACATCCTACCCTTGCACCTTTAAGTAATACATCCACAGAATTGTTTCCTAGTCCTTCAAATATAAACAATGTCTCTTAATTCCCCAGATTGTAAAATGAGATTATTAGTATCCCTCCAGCTTTTCACACACCCTCCTGCACCTTGATGTCCCAGGCTCTCTCAACTGTACTTTTATTTCTAGATTGTCAGTGCTCATATTTTTATAACCATAGCTACGCTTTCTGTGCTTTGACTCTAGATTGATCTAAAATTTAAAAATCAATGTAGTTTTTAATTATTAACAATGTAAAGATTGTTCATTGCAAAATAAAGTGATAGACTCTGATTATATTTCCTTTCTTGTTTGTTTTTCTACAAGTACCAATTATCGTTTTTATATTCTCAATTTGGTTTTTCCTAGAATTACCTTCTTAATTTTGTTCCCATTTTTTTTCCAGATTTTCTATCATGACAGGTAATCTATCCAGCCCTCCCCCTCTTAATAAGACCCCTTCCTCGAGCACCCTAATCTGGTGCTTTCAGATGGTCACTTTCTGGATCTGATGCACATCTGTCTTGCTGGGCCTTTACTGTTTTTCTGAATTGAATTCACTGTCCAGAATCACATGATTTATTCTTCTTGATTTCTGCATTTATTTTGCTAGAGCACATCCACAGATAATTTTCTAAGAAAGGATACATGGTAGGTACATTTTCTGAGTTCTTGCATTTCTGAAAATGGTTTTATATAACCCAGATAACTGAGTGATACTTTAGCAAGGTATACAATTCCAGGCTGAACATAATCTTTCTCCAGAATTTTGAAAATATTGTTCCCTTGTGTTTTATCATACAGTGCTGCTGCTAAAAAATCCAATGTCATTCTGATTCTCATTTCTTTAGAGAACCTTTTTTCCCTCTCATTCTCACTTGAAGATTTTAGGGTCGTCTCTTTGTTGTTGAAATTTTGCAATGATGTTGGGTACTTTTTCATTTAACTGTTTTGATTTGGAGACTCTTGCTCTTCAAGTGTAGGAAAGTCTCTTGCATTATTTCTATGATAATTTCCTCCATTTTCTCTGTTCTTTCTTTCTGGGACTTCTGTTATAAGATGTTCCTCCTCCATTGGTCCTCCATGTTTATTATTTTCTCTCCTTTAGGACTCTGTTTTGTGTTCTACTTTCTGGGAGGGCTCTTAAATATCCTCCAACTCTTCAATTAGTCTTATTTTACAACTATATATTCAACTTTCAGGCTTTTTATTCTGTCTCCATCCTTTTTTCATATCCCCTATTTTTGCTTTATAGCGTAATATCTTTCTCAAATTTCTTTAAGAATATTAACTAGAAAGTTTCTAAGCTTTCTTTTCTTGAATTATCTATTCCATCCATGGTCATTTTAAAAAATTTCTTTATATGAATGGTTTCACTCTCATATTTAAGAATTAGGCAATAAAAAGCTGATTGGGAACTCTTTGTGAAGGAAAAGGACCTTGTCACCAAGCAGCCTTCATTTTAGGGTGAAATAGATAGTGAAATCAGATAGTGAATCAGTCATTACTTTGGGGACACCCATAAACATCTCATTACAGAGGACTTTTCTCTGGAGCTGTTCAATTTCAGTTAAGGAAAATACATGTATTAGTTTGTTAGAGCTGCCATAACGAAGTGCCACAGATTGTGTGGTTTCAGCAACAAAAATTTATTTGCTCACGCCTCTGGAGGCTAGAGGTCCAAGCTCATGGTGTCAGCAGAGTTGGTTTCTTTGGAGGGCTCTCTCCCTGGCTTCCAGATGACCATCTTCTACCTGTATCTTCACATGGTCTTTGCTCTGTGCATGTCTGTGTCTTAATCTCCTCGGCTTAGAAGGACTCTAGTCATATTGGATTAGGGCCACCCATATGACTTCATTTTACATTAATCACTTCTTTAAAGGCCTTATCTCCAAATACAGTCACATTCTGAGGTACTGTGGCTTAAAACTCCAAAATATGAATGTCAAGGGGGCACAATTCAGCCAATAACAATATATTTTGCAAATGTTTGTTTATTTGCTTTTTGCCTGACAGGTAGACTTGGAATGTTCAACATTCTCAAAATGGAGTAAGAAAGGTTAGACGGTTTGACTCCTCCAGATATAGACTTTTGAGAATCTGCTCTTTTTTGACCCCTTTTCTCATTCTTACCTGTGGTGATACTTGGAGTTTCCAACCCCGGAGCCCCTCCTGGTTTCTGCAGGTGGGTTCCTTCCTCAGCCACCTACCCCTTTGTGTGCCTTCTGCAACAGCTTTCTTACCTTTTTTCTCAGTAACCACTCCATCTTCTCTGCTCTCCTTCCTCAGCTTCCCCTTTGCAGACCCTTGAGACTGCTTCCTCAAATAGCACTTCCTGTTTTCTGGTCTTCTTATTTCAGAAGTTTGTTAAACCCTCTCATCTGCTTATGGTCCTTACCCTGTTCTCTTCACCATTTGGGATTTATACTATCATTTTAATGGGGTCTCAGAATGAGGCGAAGTAAACACATATGCATTTTAGAAAGACTTCTCTGAATGCAGTGTGGAGAGTGGATTGGAGGGGTCAGAAGGCAGACAAACAAGTTATGGTCTTTGGGTCATTACCACTAGACCTCCATAGAATGAGCATCCCATGCCAGTGACCGTGGGAGCTATACAAGACAATGGCAGGGTCTCCTGTGGATTGCTCCAGGAGCCCAGGACACTACCTGTGGGCAGCCACACTCCTGCTCAGGGGTTGGTGAGGGCAGGGCTTCCTTTCAGTTCCCAGTCAGTCAATAATTCTCTCAGCATCCAGAAATCATCATTGGGTGCCTTATCTCCTTTCCTCAGAAAATGGCAAGGACTTTGTTGCCTGTCCCTTTATTTTTCCAGAAGTTAGGAAGTAACTGACCCTGGGGAGATGACTCAGAGTATCTGAAAAGGGGTGTGTTTCTGCTTCTCTAACAAGCCCTTGTCTTGATAGACATGACTGACCTTTCTATTTACATCATAATACATCGAATTTTCTGTTTTAGGCTCCAGATAATGGATGGAGGGCAGTGAGAGGATGTGTGTGAACTTTCTGTCATGAAGGGCAATTTGCAGGAACTAATCATCTTACAATAGTTGGTCATAAGAAAGAAATCCATCAGCCAAGCATCCTGAATAGGTATTTATATTCATGAACATTTCTGACTCTAAAGAAAGATTTCCTAAAGAGCCCTCCTAGGAATGTTACTGGTGTTATAAAGGGGGGTGTGGGTGTTTATAGAAAAGCTAAACACATTTTTACTGCTGAATTTTCTAGTGTTTTAAAATTTTTCTTCTGCAGTGTAAAGCCCTAAATCTTCAGCACTTCCCAGACTTGACTACAGAGCATGTTTATTATGAGACTAGGTGGGAAATAGAATAAGTCAAGGCATTTTATGAGGAGTCTAGCTACACTTTCTTTCTTTGCCATCTATGTTTAAGTGCATGATTAGAGCTACTAAGTAATTTTCTATCACTCCTGGGAGAAAATTTTAAAATGACACTTTTCACCCTTTAAGAGAGGGTTTCGAGGTATAGGAAGACGTCTATTTCCATTGCTTCAGAGGACTACCTGCCCTGGGAGGGTCACCTTACAGCAAGGAGCTGCCCAGCCCTCCTTCACTATCCATGAAATGGTCACGTGTGTTTGCACACTTCCCGGTCAGGGGAAGGAGTTGGTCTCTACAGTAATTTAGCCCAGGGAAATCTGTGGGCCCGCTTTGCAAAGGAGGGACTTCTTCAGGTGTGAAAAGGCAGAAGTGTCCTAGACAAAACTGATTGCAATGGGTGACGGGTTTTTCATAAAGGAAATTCGGTTACTCAAGAGGCCGTCGGCAATGAGGGCTGCAGGGGTGGACAGGGATGACAGGAGCCAACATTCAGGAGCTGCGAGTTTCAAAGGTGTTGCTCCTGGTTGTAGGTTCAGACCTTTGCGAACCTTGCTGCAAGCTCTTTTCATCTCCAAGGCTTCTGTCATCCATCTGTGGAGAATGTGATGTTAGCTTCCATTATGAGAGCTACTGTTATTTTTTCACGTGTGTGTGCCTGTTTGCCTGCCTCCCAGCTCATTGTGAGCTTACTCCCCACTTCTCTGTAGCTGTAACTCCTAGTACACAGCTAACAGGTGGTAAGTGTTTCTTGGTTGTTGGAGACTGACTATGTAAGTCCTACTTAAGAGAAAGTTTCCATCAGTTCAAGATGGTCTCATAACTGTGAGTCAACGAACCTTCAAAAGGATGGTTATATGAAACCTATGTGTGGGAAAGAAAGGATCTGTCTGATTTGCCACATTCACTGTTCTCTTTTGCATAAATTTTAGAAGTGATCTGAGCAACAATGTTCCCAGGATAATGGAAAAGATTTAACGGCCTCAAGCTGCAGTGAAGTTTAATGCTCTTATTCATATAAAG